ACAACATATACTTGAGAAAGCTGACCTCTCATCCCACCTCGGCTGAAGTTTTGCCACTTTCAGAACAGCGTGACTTCATGAATTAATTCCATAATGAAAAATAGCGGTTTTGAAGTTAAACCCACTTTCCTGAATTGTGAGGTTGCAGAAGCTAAGGGTTTGTTGTTGTGAGACTCCCCCAAACTCCTTTCCTAAGACACCTTTATGATTCCTGTTCTCTTAGCTTGGAAGCAAGGACTGTAGAAAAGTGTCTACATGAGGGAGGAGAAAAAAAAAAAAGATCTGTTTTATTGCTACTCAAAAGGAACATCAAACAAAAATGTAGATAAAGTAAGGAATATGCATAGATTCTTGGTCACTACAGGTCAACATCTCTGACACAATCAGGAGATTAACCTTCCAGACATTTTTTTCATATATTAAGTAAGTAGTAGAAATACTTGTAATTTTTCTAAAAACAAGTTTTCAGTGGGTGATAATGTACTCAACTTTTAGTATGTTGTATATTCTTTTTTCTACTTGAAAGCATCTAGTGGTCCATGAGAGCAAAGACCAGGTTTGAGTTTTCCTATAGCTTCCTGAACTTCCATGGAGACACCACAGCCCAGGTGACTGCTACCTCATTTTAAAAAGTGTTTTTAAGCAAAATAAGAGTACAGAGTGCTTCAGGATATGTACAGCTGGGTCTGCAGAGAGCTGCGGCCTATGAAAACACTCCTCAGAGAGAGCTCAGAAAGAACTCACCAAAAGATGGGATTATCTGATCAGTATTTTGCAGAGCAGTCAGTCTGAAGTACTTAGCCCCAGACTGTTACTTTTACATTTTACTCATTTTTTACAGCTTATAGCAGGAATCATACTCATTTTATGCACTACAGCATTCACGTGTGGAGCCTCTTTTTACCGGTTAAGAGTTAAACCCCTATCCAGCCAAGTGGAGACTTTACACCCTGCATTGGTAGACACAGGCTCAGGTTATGATCGTCTCAGACACATGTGGTGATAGGAACAAGGAGCTATCCTAGTTATCTAGGAGACATTACTGTCACACCTCATTAAGTAACAATCCCATTTTCTACAGAAAAATGCCAGGTACAGCTCTACAGTTTTGCACTTTCTGAACCTATGCAAGGTACATCAGGTTTGTATTAAAATACTGTATTTGTCAAACGATGAGGAAAGGGTAACATTTTACTAAAGGTTAGCCAGCTTCAGACATGGCCGAGTTCCAATATCAAGAAATTTAAATATACTAAGTCACTTGCTCCTAAAAGCAATTCAGGAAGGTGCAGGTAGAGCTGAAGGAGAACACCTCAGTGTGAAGAACTCCTGATGTACACTGGACAAGGTGAAATGTCGCAATGAGCCATATCATTAGCCTGACCCTGGCAGCCACGCTGCCCATCCCACAGGACAAGGCTCCATACATCTACAGAGTGCAACCAGAACATCAGTTTGTCAGCATGGAACTCGTACATAAAATGAGATTAAAACCAAAGTCTCACTATTTCAGTTTTAAGAAAAAGCATGTTTACCATAGCCAAGTGTTTGTCTCAAGCAGAGAGTGAGGAAAGACCTGCAATGGATTCCAAACTCCCTACACAGGTCAATCACTTATCTGTGCCTAGGATGTGGTGGTTTCCCAAACTGTGGCAGAAGGGGTGTGGTGGTTTCCCAAACTGTGGCAGAAGGGGTGGTGCAGCCATTCCTTTGCTCTCAGTCTTGTGACTTGCCCTAGGGCCGGCATCCCACAGCTGGGTTATGAACTTACCCAGCTGAAGAGCACAGATTGGTTTCTGCTTTCCTTTCTCCTTACTGCTTGGCCATGTAAGCATGAAATGCCAGCACAAAGCGGGCAACAGGGGCAAACTGAGAGCAATAATAGCTTAGTCCTGATGTATGATGATCATAAAACCATATCCTTAGTTCGGAAATTAATAAAAACTGAAATGCAATATGAAGTCTACCCTAGCCCAGTGTGTCAAATTAGGATGGGGTTCTTACCAGGCAATCAACTGCAGTAAAGACCGTTCCCTGGTTTGGGTAAATCACTTTTTAAAGTTTCCAATTCTTGATCTGAGTAAAATGGCTGATTTTAACCTATCAAGTTGAGACAGTAAGCTTTGCAATAAACAATTTAATGGATATTTATTGTAAGTACATGTTAAAATTGATTAGCTTTAGCACCTGCAGGAATGATCAAGGTAAGTGCTACCTACTACTCATCTGCTGCTTAATATTCATCAGGCACCTTGCTAGTAGGACACAACTTGGGATTATCGCAATTCAGCATCACCTGATGACAGACAGATGAAATCTCTCCCTCTGATCCTGACTTCTGTTGGAAGACTGAAATGAATGATGCCCATGCATCAAGGTGCTTGTGCTGCTGCTCCCTGGTACATAGGGGCAAGGCAGCTGAAAGGCCCTGGCTTTACAGCTGGCACAGGACCTGCAGGTTTCTGCCCCACCACATGTACCAGGGACTCTTGAGACGACAGATTTACAAAACCTTGCAAGTCTAGGATCCTACTTAATGTTACTGCACTTAGTTGATACAACATTGGTTTTAAAACACATTTTAGAAGCCTCTGTCTTGAACATATTTCAATGCTGAATTAGTGAGAATTATTGGAAGCAGTTGTCTATAAAGCAGTACAGGTATTCTCCCAGAACGATGAGTGAAACATTTAATCTGACTGTAACAGAACTCACAGAAACTGAAGCCAGTGAAGCTGTCAAAGGTAGAAGGAAAACAAAGTTGCATGGCATATGAAGCAAAGTAGCTTTACAAATGTCTTCTTCTTTCTAAAACAAGCAAATTTGGACCATCCTATTTGAACATGTATTTAAAAATACATCTTTTAACATCACACAATTTTCATTTTTGTCACACAGGAATCTTTTTCCAAGAGGGAAATAAATAGCACACAATAGTAAAAAGAAATAAAATAATTGCTGCCTTGCCCCTGAGGTGCTAATGTTTTTAGCATTTAAAAAAAAAGTTTCTGGTGCAAGAAGGAGATGCACAGAGGTGCAAAAGTGCCTTTTGCTTTTCAGAACAGTGAAAAGTACAGCTTGCCTCTTCTCTAGGATGCTTTGTATACTTAATTCGTACATTTTGTAATCAAAAATTGTCTCTAAAATGGCAGTGTTCATGCATACACAACAGATTCAGTGCTCTGACCTCAACGAAATGCTGAACATAGGTAGGAGAGAGAAAGGCCTGAAACGGGCTTTCTTCTGCTACCCTCAAACCTGGTTACATCACCTGATAGCAACAGCAGATTTATCTTCTTCTGAACCTTTAGGAGACCTCATAGGAAGAGGCTTCAAATAAATAGATCATTTGTCACTGAGACAGTTTAAGTGATTATGGTTTGAAGTATGGCTTTTCACACCACGGTTTTGCTTCTGATTTTATAAAGTTTCAAAATCAAAGGTTCCACAGTCCAGTTCAAGGTTTTGCAGTTTCCAAAACTAAACTTTAGTCTCTATGAAAAAGGGCAGAACTTTATCTGCCTAGTCCTAAATTCAGCTTAGCTTTTTGCACTAATACACCATATATTATTAAATATGCTTGTTAATTAGGTGCCTGTGAAGCTATAACTTAACATTATTATAGTTTTGCACTCTACAACAAAATTAGACATTTTAAGCATTTATTCATAAGTAGGTAAGGAACTGGTTCTTTAAGCAAAAATTGCTATAATTTATAAATACAAATAGTGCTTATGTTTTCTTCATTCATGCTTGAACAGATTACAAACTGAATACAATGAAGTTACGTTTAAGTACCCCACATAGACAAGAGGGATAAAAGAAAAGTTTGCTGGTATATACTAAGTTCCCAGACACTATAAGTTACTTTTTCACTGTTCAGTGTTCCCTAACTCTGCATTAGTTTTAAGGCTATATATACAAATATGTATATTTC